ATCCTGTTTGCTTACCTTCAAAATGAATATCTTTTGAGAAAAAACTGTTTATTTAAGCTTGATTCGGCTGCAGAGGACCCTGTATGGGAGGTGCAGGACTTTGATTTCATTATGCTTCAAATTTTCTCGTTTTACAACAGCACTGTTCTCTAGTTTGTCATCATCATCATCCATTTTCTTAATATTGACAGAGAACAGCAGAGGTCAGTGGCTGTGGGAGGAACCAGAAGGGAGAGAGAAAAAAAAACTTTAAGGAACCCTTTGCAGAGGTTCAATGTTTGTCAGAGTTGCTTTGGTTTTCAGACGAACATAATGAAGTGTAACTTGAGGGATTTTATTATCCTCATTTACCAGAAACCTTAATGCTGTGTTGAATTGACCTGTTTTAATTATGCTGATCTTAGAAGTCTGGATTATGAATATTTGTGTATATATATATATATACTTGTCTGGTTTTTAAAAAGTTTTCCTTTACGACAGACACCTAAAATTTTCCAGCTCTCCTCCCTTCTTCCCATCCTTAAACAAGAATCACAGGTTTTTTGTTGTTTTTGTTTCACTGTAAGGATTGCTGACACATACAGCATCATGATGTTCAGCTGAGAGGATGGTGAATCACATTTGCTGCTTTCCCAAAATACAGGAAAAAAAAGTTCAGGAGTTACGAAGAAATTGAAGATCTCAGTGTTCAATATGTACAATATTTCTGTACTGTTATTTTTAGTGTCATTTGAGCATGTTCTACTGACCTCAAAAAAAAAATAATTAAATCTTGTGAAACTAATTTGATTATCCAAGGCCCCACACTTGCTTATCTTCAGACTTTTTGATAAGGAAAATAAGGAGTGTCCCAGGTAATAGTTTAACGTTCTTGGGTCAAAGTACAGGTGTGCTGTTAGAGAAATTGCTTTTGGTGTTTGGGATCAGAATAAAGGAAGCCTTTGATGTTGGCTCTGCTCAGGTTATTGGGTTTCTTTCTTGGAATCCTGTACAGCATCTAAAATATGAGGAAAGAAGCACAGAGAGAGAATAGCCATTAGTGCAGGCTACATTCAGAAATTTTATGTCGTAATAAATACTTGTCAGTATCTTTAAAACATAATGTGAAATTAATACTCTGAAAGTGGTTGCACTGACAATGCTGAAAAGTGGTATTTTATCCCAAAGCATATTTGCAGCTCAGGCAGTGGTTTAAAACAAAGCAAACAAAAAAACCCAAACCTGCTGGAATAAAATAACTGGCTGTAAGAGTAATGTTTTTGGAGGAGCAAATTACCGTTTTCTTCTTTTTTCCTCCATAGTTCAAATACATCATATTTTACAGGCACATCAAGAGTCATTCCTTAGGGGAGTTGCATTTTAAATTAACATTCTGTGGCTGTTCAGCTTTTATCCAGATCACAGCCAAGATGGCAGTTCTGATAACTTGATTTAAAGTGAGAAAGCAATTCTTCCAAGCTTTGTGCTGAATCCATGGCTAAAGGAGCGAGGGGACAGGCCACTGATGTACTTCCCTTCATGTGCAGCACAGCCCTGTTTTGCCAACCCATTCTAGGCTTGTGTTATTTATTCTAAATGTTGTCCTGAAAATCTCCAGTCCCGCTTCTTCTGTGGAAAGTGTTTTAGTAAGTCTTGGCATGATCTGTATTGTTACTGGAATGGCTCGGGGAGTTAATCATTCTGCTCCTAGTGCAATTGTTGAAGCAGATTGTTTTTCCAGTTACTGCCAGCAGGAATTTTCTGCCCCCCTCTCTTTTTTTTTTTTTTTTTTAAGTCACACCCACCAACCTATAAAATTTATGTCTGAAATATAAGCTCGATTGTATTTTAAACTAGAGTTTGGGAGTGTGTTAGGGTGGGTTACCCCCCAGTTGCCATAATCAGCCTTTTCTCCATGGTTGTCCTGGGAGAGGATGGAAGTGGAGGCATATTCTGATACACACCCAGCATATGGTGAGCCCTGGGAACATTTGTGATGCAGACTTGATTCATGCCTTCAGTTCTTTATTTTGGAGAAGCTGCCCCATCAATAACTGGGAAATTGATGTCCATAGTCATGGCAAACGTGGTTGCTGAGGGTCATAATTCTCAAGTTTGTTGATTCTTTATTTGTAGGGACTGTCCCCAGCTTCCCTGCAGCGATTCCTGTAAGTTACCAAATAGTTTGTGGCTTTTGCCACAGCGTGTGTGGGCAGGGGCATTCCACAGTCACCGTAAAACTCCTGGAATAAGTAACAGAAGCTGGCAGCCTTAGCCAGAATTTCTCTGAAGCTGAGATTGATGGGAGTGAACTCAGCTAGGGCAGCTCCACCATTGCTCATTTATTTATCTCCCCCCCCTCCCCCCTTCCTTATTACTTAATAAAGCTAAAAATATTTGAAGTGGTGAAATATTCACTGTGGACAGGCACTAAGATGCTGCATATCCAGGGAAAGCTCAGGCCTTAAAAATGTTTTGCTTTTCTCTGGAATTTGCTTTCATGAATGTGATACTTGAAAGCAGCACTTCTGTGACATTGGTTTTTGTGTATGTTTTATTGCAGATACTTAGACTTTCTGGTTTTGGTACTTGATATAGTTGTTACTGAATATCTTAATTTCTTTTGCTTTGTAAATGGTGATAGAAAATTAACACATTTTACCACAGCTCATGATGCCATTACTGCTTGTTTATTTGACATTAAATAGGTGTGATTCATATTGTTTTCAGTCTTATTTTGAAAAGTATTAGTTAAGATTAGGCATATCATTACAGCATGCTCCAGATATGCAATTTGAGTAATTTTTTGACAGATGTGAAATACTTCCAGTTTTCTCATGGAAGTTTCAAGTACATGTGTAGTAATAGAAAATGTTACCAGATGATTTTGTTTCCCCTTATCGGACCTTTATTTCTGATCACAGGCTTTCAGGATGTACCTTGTGGGACCTTTTGTTTTATTGTACCCTGGCAGGCACTTAGGATTTTGTGTGGACACTGACAGATGCTGGACAAATAACAGCAAAATTACTAGATGTTTAAAAAAGACTGGTTAGGGAACACTATTTAAAAAATAAAACAGAAGCCCCTATCCTCGTGGTTGTCAGAATAATGTCTAAGAATGGCAAGTTTGCCTGCTGTGTGAGTGTGGAAAAGTAATGAGGAAGCGTGATTCAGGTTCCAGTAACAACAGGGAAGTGTGGAATTTTTCTAAATAGAAATCATTGGGTCATTCTGTTTTGATGGTACCAAAAGGGAAAATCAAGTTAGAGCATTGTTTCCAAACACTGTGTTGAGGCCTTTGTGTTTTCTGCTGTAGTGATTGCTTGGGTACCCAGCTTCATTTCTCACAGGTAGTGAAATAATGATGAGATGTGTGCAGAAATCCAAGTACCATTAAAGTCTGTGGGCCAGGGTGGTAATTACACAGTGGTGTTGGTTTTACATTTGTGTGAGGGCGTGAGCTGTGAGTGTCCTGTGGAGCTCTGGGTGCGTTTCAACCTGCACAGTTACCAGGAGGATACAACCGGGTGTGACTGCTCTGCACATCAGTGGGTCAACACAGCACAGGAAACCACTTGTATTTTTCTTGGTCTCTTGCAAATTAAAAAGAAAAGAAGGAAGATGACTTGTTTTTACTGAGTTTGGGTAAATAAAAAGCACAGGCGCCAACAGTGTTCGTGTGCTCTGCTCTTCCAGTAAAGTTTCAGTGTGCTGAGCCTTAACCTCTGAGCCCTGGGGACTTCCACAGGGACTGAACACGTGCTTCAAGTGAAGTTTATACTCAGTTTTCTCTTGCATTTATACTGTTAAGTCCAGATCTTGCTCCTTTGAAAATCAGTTTGGGATTGTTCCTATAAATTTTAATAAGCCTTGCAGCCGGTTCCTAAAACTCTTAGGAAACGTAGTTAGAAGCATTAAATGAGTTGAGAAAAGAAGGAAATTAAATTTAATCTACTGAGTAATTCAGTCTTCCGAGGGTGGCTGTCACTTTTCTGTGCATGCCCCTTGTTGGTGTTCTTTGTTTAAGAATATTCTCCCCTGTGCTCCCCTCTAGTCCCATATCCCCAATCATGGGAGTTTGCATCCTGCTTGTCTTGAAGGCAGCAGCAAAAAGTGTTGGCTCAGATTCTGGTGGAATCAGGAGATTTTTGTGTTGCATATTCAGCATCTAAATATGCTGAATATCAAAATACTGAAGGCTGGTAAGTGCTCTTTTTTTCCTTGCTTTCATTTTACTGATCCTTGTACCTGTGTTGTATTTTAAAATTTATTTCTAATTGTTTGCTCTTAGAGTTTTGCTCTACCTTGAATCTTAATGTCACTTGAGTTCATGGTGCACAAAACAGTGATCTCTCAAAACAAAGTCCAAAGTGTAAAAATGCATGATAGGTCAGGAACCTTAAAATATGTTTTTGAAGTATGATGTTTCTAGGAATTTTAATAGTGCATATTGGCAAACCTAATTCATAACAGCTTCTGTGTTCGTGTTATGAGGAGGATATTTTTTGTTTGTTTTGACAACTTGTTCTTTACTTGAATTAATATTAGCATTTAGTTTTGGAAAACATGCAAATTTTTTTGAGGGTTTATGGTAAATAAATGACAGCTCTCACTGAATTTACGCCTAGGTAAGAATATAAAGTAAAGGTAAATGCCACAGGGGATTAGTCTCATGTTACATGTGCAAGACTGTAAATCAGTTGAACATCCAACCTGTCATTTTTTGGCCCTTGTTTTTGTAAATATTGATTAGATTTTTCAGTAGTTTGCATTTTGTTAAAACCGTAAATCACTTCGACGTTTTACAGTGTATAAAGAAAGTTTTGTAACACAAATTCTTTGAAAAGGACGTTGTCAAGGGATTTTTCCTGCTTATTAAATCTTTGCACTTGTAAGAATCCCCGGAGATGTGACAACTCTCCTTTGCCAGGCTGCTCTCCTCCATTTCGTGTGCCTGTTGGTTTGTCATTATAGGGTTACTGATAAGTGTTGTGCTTTTTGGCATTGATGTATTTTTCAGAAAAAAGAATTGAAGCATTTCTTTTGAAAAAAGAAAAACACATTTAAAGAATTACATGGACTTTGCAAACAGATTTAAGAAAATGAAAGGTAGGTCAAATTTTGGGCCTACAAACCTGACAATGTCCTTTAGTTAAGTTAACATGTATGCCTTATATGAGACATTCCTGTCCTAATGATGTTCCATTAATCAGCAGCAGAAAAATGTGAAAATGACATTGTTAATCATCATTAATCCTAATAGCTTTGCTTGTTGCATTTTGGTATGTTTTCCGATGTCAGTAAGTGGTGGCAGCCTCAGTTATTTGTGCATTGATCACTTCAGTTACTGTCAGTTCGGAACATGAAAGATTGTTTTACAAAAGGTTTAAAATACATTTTAACAGCCTAGAATATGTTAGAACCTAGAGAGCTTTCTTACCCTCCAGTTGTGAGCATGCCTAATGGCATTGGCTTCAGCTCATCCCCCTTGGAGTGTAGCACAAATAATGCACCTTTGCTTCAGGAGCAATGGGAGGTACAGGCTGGATTTGGGAGCAGTGAGGACACTACCCTGCTTAGGTAGCTCCTTTTCTCTTTAGCTTAAAAAACTACATGTTGTTCTGAGGTTGGTCTGATCATTTTTAAGTCCTCATGGTGCCATAGGTATAGATATAGGATAGCTCACAACCCTTCCTCTCTTGTTTTGGCTGCAAACCTGGACAGTGCGTTGATTAATCCTCTTGTTTGTGGGACCCACAGGCACTTAAGTGCTTGCACATGGGGCTGGCCTCCTCTCGGGTTCTACAGCTGAAAACTGATTTTTTCAATTTATTTTTTTTTTCCTAAAAGCTGGACTAGACTGAGGTTTTGATAGATTTTTCTTTCCAAGAGAGCTGGTCCGGACTGCAGCTGTGCAAGGGTACTCTGCTGTTAGTTATTCACATGGTGAATAACTGCTGCATACGGAGAGCTGCTCTGTCTGTCTGTGCACCTCATACCTGGTATTAATTTAGAAAAATTCCAGCACTCACTGGCACAGTAGCTGTTACTGGGGAAGAGCTTCACCACCAGATTATTTCCATATTGGTGGGGAGGAGTGGGCAGAAACCCCAGAGTAATAGCTGGATTAGAACTGTTGGGAAAACTTTGGGTTTTTTGCATAAATACATTTAGATAACCTTAAGGGCCTGACTTAGACCCAGCAAAACCAGCAAGATCAGAGTTAAGGCTTCTCACTCCATCTCTGGTATTCACTGGAGCACTTGGCCCTCCAGCACGGGGAGGGGGGATGCTGGAGATCACACACTATCCCTGGATCCCTGCTCACCCAGGCAAAGCCTTGGCCGCGCGAGCGGTGCCGACTGTTCCAGGTACGTGTATGTACAATACACCTGCTGTCCTGAGCAAGGTGCCCCGTGTGCCTTAACACTCTGCTGCTTTCCCTGGTATGTTAATGGCCTGTGGCAGCACAGCAGGTGTGGTGGAAAGCCAGCAGCCAAAGGGGGAAGGGTACAGATGCAGTGAGAAGCTTTAAACTTCGAGTTTCCTGCCTTCTGTGAGCACGAGTCAGACCCTTAATGTTGTTTTAATGTATTGTTTGTGTTTAATTTTTAGTAAAAATTTGAACGCCATCCAGGCTACAGAGGTTGCAGTGGATAAGAAGTTTAAAAGCTTTGGTTCAAGATTACAGGAGGCTGCAAGAAAAATTAAAGACATGGAAATGAGGATGGAATGACAGGCTGCTATTTTGCCTCAGAATACTGAAGATTGTAAAGCATTGAGAAATCGAATTCATGACCCTGGAAACCAAGCTCAGATTAAGAAATGTCAGGTTGGTAGGGGTTCCTGAAAGTCTTGAGTTAGGATAAACTGAGATTGTTTTCCCATAATGAAAGATTATAGGATGTGGGGGTGGATGGTATAATTTTTGTTATCTATGTAATGTGAAATGCAATGCCATATACTTAAATAAGCCAGCTAAGTGAAATTATTTGTTTAAATTAGTTTCACATTTGTGGTGTCGAATGTCACTTTTGACTGCTTTAGAGTTATTTCTCTCTGGCACAGAGTTGCATGATTTACTGTAAATGCAGGCATGGAAAATACTGCTCTTAAATACACATTGCTTCCTCCTGCCCCTCTGAGGGTCTGCTGCGAAGCCAAAGGCATGGTGCAGGATGACATTTCGAGATAAGAGATGGGCAGAACATATCTAAGTGGTGGAGGAGGAAGGGTTCAGAAGGTTCTTATTCATAGTGAAGCCGCGTCTCTCCAAATGTGAACCTTAAATAGTGGCTGCCACTGTGATGAAGTTCCTGTGAGTTTACTTAAGTGTTGAGTTATTGCCTGCGATTCAGGGACAGGATATTTAGGCAGAAGGATTGTGCAACAGGAAGTCTATGCTGAAGTTCAGAAAGGATTTTGGCAAGCAAAGGTTTGTAGGGTTTTTGTGGTCAAGGTCACTGAGTGTATTTGAATTCTAGGGACTCAAAAAAGTCTCTCTTGGGGAGGGTTTGTCCTTCTAGTTGTATTTTGACTTCTGTTTCTGTACTTTGGGGCTCGGTCTGGCATTCCCCTTAGCACTGATGTTACACAGGTAACTTGGTTTAAATCTTCAGATACACTGGTGTGAGGGGAAAACCAGACCACACCTTTGTGTGTTTTAGAGAAATCATTATCTGAAAGGGCTGGTTTTTGTACTGTTGCATTTAATGGTTTTCTGAGATAGCTCTAGTCAGAAAAGTGTTTCTTAGAGGTGAGAGTTTTTAATCTCATCCTTTTTCTGTTTGCACTGAATGTGCTCTGCTGTTGACAGAGCTGCTTTAGTTGTAGCTCTATGCCATATTTTTATAGCTCTGTGCCTTTTTTTCCTCATTCATCTGAAATGACTTCAGTATCAAAAGTTCTGGGTTTTTTTTATTCTAGCTAGCATTCAAACTTGTCATTGAAGTTCTGCCTTTGCTGCACTGACAAGACAATGACCATAACATTTCAACTATAAAGTGAGCACAGTTACTTTTAAGCAAAATGAATAGGACTTGCAGTGTCATTTTTACATTCATTTCAACACTTAATTGCATTTTAGGTAATGCTGTTACATATACTGCTTTGAAAGAAACATGAGCAAATCTGTAACATGCTTTATCTTAGGGGTTTTTTAAAGTAAGTTCAATGTGGGTTTTTATAATTAAGTTCCCATTAAAGGATAGTAATTGTTCTCTGGGTGACTACGTAGCTTTGTTGTATATTCACATTGTGTTCCTGACGTGTACTGCATTACTAATGTGTGGTTTGTATACTAAAAATGACTGTATGGGGCTCATGTGGCCATTTCTGGTTCAAACAGGTATAAGTTAACAAAAATTATACTTAAAAGGCTCCCATCTAATTTTGGTGACTGGATGTTACTGAAAGAATACGTGTACCAGAAACATTTCTAAACATGTCTATCACAGTAGAGGTTAGGAGTGGGTGTTTTTACAACAGAGCATAGTTTTCATGGGTGTTGTACTCATGGAAAACTTTGCTGGTGAGTACTTTTCACATCTCAGTGCCTCTGTGCTATGGTGGGAGCACTGCAGGGTCAGTCCGTCAGCAGATGCTGGGAGACACTGTGACTAGAAGAGGAAAGAGCCAAGTGTAGTGACTCTTGTTCTGTCTTCTTTACAAAGTTTTTATGCCTGAGGAACTTAAATACCAGACTGTAGTAGGGCTGGACCATCATCCCGACTTGGTTAGGGCTGGTCATGGAGTTTATAGGTTGAGGCTGGACTGTGAGGGCAGGAGTCTCCTTCAGCCCAGACCTGAGCCTGGTCCCAGTGGGGGAGTAATAGGCTGCTTCTGTTGACTTGTGAAAATCTCTCTTCCCAGCAGCTGTTTTTCTTCACAAGATGCCTTGTACAGCTGGGATTCTAATAATTTTCCATCCACTTAAAATGCAGATACCAGTCTTTCAGGACTTGCTTTCTGACCCGGTCTGGGACTTAAGATGCAGGGACTGCTTGTAGAAGTTAACTGGGGGACTTCCGTCATTTGCATTAATGTTGGACTAACTTGGATTATCAAGGAAATATGCAATGTTTTAAAATTCACATTGTGACAAAAATATGGTGGTATTTGCATATAAGAAAGATCTAGCCTGCTTCACTTTGCAGTATTTAAAACTTATTTTAAAAGAGGAAAAAAAAACAACATGTACTTTTGGTCTTGCTTTTCCTTATCTCTTCAGGAAGTCCTTTTTTTTTTTTTTTTTTCCCACCCACGCTTAACTACTTTTGTGTAAATGTAATGGTTTAATATTATCCCCAGTTTAATATTATTCCTCTGAGTACTGTTGTGTGTTTATCCCATCTACACTGTTAAAAAGATGCTCTCTAACTATCTTAAGGATTACTTTTCATTTCAAGACTCTGTAAAGAGGATGTAAATGAAGTCTGCAGTTCGGACTGATTTTCCTGCCCCCAGATACTTAATGTGAATTTCTTTGTCACTGCACAGTGTTCCAAGTGTGATGTTGGTTTAGGGAGAGACCTTTTGTTCATGTTTTATAAGAGTTTTCAATAGTGGATTAAGAATGATGTGTTTGACTAAGCTATATAGGATTGTTTTGTAAAATTTTTTAAGTCTAAGCAGACCTACATAGATCAGTAATTAGCCTGTAAAGTTGGACACTGGATCCCCTCAGTAAATGCCACATTTTGCTGTTGCAGGCTTCTTTCAGTTACATTTTAGTCTCAGCAGAATCATCATTATATATGTAAATTGAACACTCAAATCCTCACTGACTTGCTTATGATATTCCATAAGCTACACTCTTGCAAGCCTGGACAAGATATTTCTCACTCTGTCTAGAGCTCACAAAGGTGTGGAATCCAATCAAAACATGGATAAGATAGCACAGACACTTCTTAATAGTGCAGTAAGGATGTATCTTTAAAAAACAAATATACTCTTCCCTTAGTGGTTTTATCCATCTTTCATTGTTCAGCCTCCTGAACCTCCATGGAATTTTTTCCTTACGTCTTCCGTGTTTGGTTGACTGCTGAGTGTAAACTTGTTCCTGTTTTATTAGCTTCAGTCCTTGAGATCTTTTTCTGCCATCAGAATAAACAGACTAGCTATAACCTATTTTTTAATTGCTTTTGCATGGCTTGAATAACAAGTGTTCTCTGTTTCCTTGCAGGCATTCGACCTCCGATCATGAACGGGCCCATGCACCCGCGCCCCTTGGTAGCGTTGCTGGATGGCAGGGATTGTACAGTAGAAATGCCTATTCTGAAGGATGTAGCCACAGTGGCATTTTGTGATGCTCAGTCTACACAAGAAATTCATGAAAAGGTAATATTCCAGAGGCGTAATTGAGATGTTTGGGAAAAATGGAAATATTTTAATGGTTCGGATCAGATCCAGTGTTGTGTCAGCTCTGACATCGTGTTCAGCTGTTGCATTTTAGTTACTGGCTGATCACCTCAATGAGTCATGACCTCCAATAAATAGGTCATGAAATATGATGGTGAAACAAAGATTCAAATGTCTGTATGCTGAAGTATTGCTTTTGTGTAGTGTCTTTTGGCTGGATGTTGTCCATATGATTACCCACTGAATTAGTTTCATAGAGAGAGTTACTTAAAGGAAAAATATTATTGCATGGTATTTTGAAATGCTCCTTGGAAACATTTCTGTTACTCAGCCTTTGTCTGGAAAGACAACTCTCAGTATTGCATTGTCTGTGTGGGGGACATTCTAATTTCTTTGTTTAGCCAAGATATTGTGCAGGTTGGGTTAAGCAGCCTTGTGCACTGAGAATGGTCACTGCTGAAGAGTTTCAAAACAAATGCTAACTCAAAATTCATGTGGAAAAGGCAGTGAATGAGAACCTAACTTGAGAACACATGCAAGGAATTGAAAACTTCTCAGTCTTCATTCATAATTGGAGCTGCAGAGATTTTGTTGGGGGCTTTTAATTAAATAAAGCTTAATTTATAGTGTTAAAGACTATATTTCAGTTTTTTAATTGAGAGAAATATTCAACCCAAGATTTTTTTCTCAATTCCCTTTTATCATATATCAAGAGTTAAAATGTGCTGGAGTGCCTTATTTCTGTGTGTTTCTTTTTAGTCATGTTGAAAAGTTGCTTTCATTTTACTGTTTTCCTATCTCACACCACTGTCAGAAGTTTAACACATGAAATAACTGGATTTCATTTACAAATACTAAATGACACTTGGAGAATAAATAATATAAATGCTGTTCCACTTTTATTAGTAGATAACAGCAGTCTCCTCTTCACATGAACACTGTAAGATTGGCAGCTGCACCACCTGTATAGTTTTATGCTTTGCTTACTGCAGTCAACATCATTCCCTTCTGGTGCATCAAAACTGGGGAATTCCTGTGTGCCATAAATGCTGGGCATGGATACACCGGGTATCTTCTGTTATCAGTGTAGTAAATGAACTTTTCAGATCCTGAGAATGGAAGTCAGTTTGTGTCTCTCAAATTGTAGCTTTGGAAAAGCACTTAAATATCTGATGAGTGACACAGGTAATCTGTTTCTGATCTTTACAAGAGTGTTGTATTGAGGGGATTATACTGAAGCTTGCATCCTTTGCTTTTTATTGTGCAAAAAAAGATCATTCTCAGTGAGCTCAGTAATAGATCAGGAATATTTTCTCCAGTTATCAGCACATTGCCATAATAAGATTTTCATTTTTCTAGAGGATGAGGCAGTCCTAAAACATTTGGGGTTTCAGAGTGCCATTGTTCTGCCAGGTAGCAAATTTCTGCAACAAAAGTCACAAACCTTAGTTCCTTATCACAGTGTTGTCTTACTTAAACGTAGACTGAGAGATCAGTGTTCATGAAGTGTTGAGCACTGTTCACTTCTGTTTGAAAAGTGTTCACTGTTTATCTGCGGTAAAAAATGGCTGTTTTTCAACTATCTTTAGAGTTACATGAGAGAAATGTCTGTATTTTAGTAGTTTATATAATACCTTATTTGGGAACAGTGCTTTACTGAATATAAAACTGTTTTCACAGAAAGTTTTAAAATGAAAAGTTGCATATTTAAAGAAGTATCTAAAATGTTTGTGTCTTTATGAGTGCAAATTCCTGACCATGCTAAATGATGCTGTCCTGTTAATTAAAATACAGATTTTGATAATGGATGTTAATTTGCAAAAGGCTGTTCCCCATTGTGAAAGACGAGATGACTGAAAATCAGGAGAAGGTTTAGTGTTGACAAGAGCTTGCTGAAAGCAGAAGGTGAAATTTATTTTTTCTTTCATATTTCATGTCTTCAAGAAGAGCTACTGAATCCATAGGGTAGCAGATATAGATACACTTAGTCTGAAGTTACAGGAGGTTTAGGATGGGGTTTGAAAGAGGTGATTGATGTTGTTTGATACTCCTTGATGGGTGACTGTAGATTAATGTAATGGGGGTGGGGAAGACATGAACTGAGAATAACTTGGGGAGGAAAGGAGTGAAAGACTGCAAAGGATGGTTCAGAGAGTAGGAACTGGTATAAACTCAGCTTGTGCAGCTGTGGAACCTTGATCACCAGGGTGTGAGGTGGCATTTGAGGAATGAACATTTTAGAACCTGGAGAATGTATTTCTACTAGTCATGGGAAGGTTTCAGTGACACAACTGGTTTAAAATACTGTCTTTTTAGTATGTTGAGGAAATAGTGAAAAGGGGATTTGTAGCAGTTTGTGAGAGAGCAAAGCACAAGGTAGATACTTTTTTCTTGGAGGAGCAAGAAGGCTGAGAGATTTTCACACATACAGAAATGAGGATTTGAATACCATTTGTATGGAGAGACAAAAGCAGGATGTTACCAAATACTGTTATACCTTATTGTGTGTGCTGAGTAAAGAAAGTTTTCCTCCAAACTGGGTAATGCCCAAATTGCAGTTCTGTAGCAGCTCCCTTATGTCAACAGTTCATTTTTCAATCACTTTTTATGGCTGAGGAGATTAAAGTGTGGAAATTAAGCAACTAGTTTAAAGTCACAGGTAAATAATAAAGTGTGTTAGAACTCTGTTTCATCTCAGGTCAAAGCATTCGTTCCCTGTTCTGCTGCATTGGAAGGCAACTTGGATGGTGAAGATATGTTTCCTTCCTTTGGAAAATCAAGCTGCCAGTGCTTAAGTGAATACTGACATTTACTAAGAGTGATCCAAGGTTTTGAAATAACTCTATACTTAGAGGACACTTACTACATTTCTTCAGAAATTAGTAATGCTTAAGATTTTACTGAATTTTTGTTTGGTTTGTTGTTTTCCCATTCTCCCTAGAAAAAGCAATTTGTTTTCAAGCCAGTCTGAAAGGCTGCAATAGATGTCTTTATCCCTTAACCCCTAAGTTCTGTTTTTTTGTAGATATTGCATATGACTGTGTGAAGTTGAGCATTACGTTTGCCAAACTGTATCATGGGATAACTGGGAACTGGGTTCATTGCATCCTATCAGGAAACTTCTGTCATTTAGGGTAAAAATCATTTTAAGATTTCAGTGTTTAAATTTCTTTCTTATTAGAGATTGCATTACTGTTGATAAAAGCTACTCACTGTGCTTAAACTGTTTTTTATTTTACAATTAATGATGTGTAAATAAGTTTTCTCAGTAACCATCTAACACTGTGTCGAAGTGTATGTGGTGTTTTGGTTTGTTCTGCCAAAAACACAGTTGCTCATCCAAAAAAAATGTTTAAAAATACTTAGCTTGCTTCCATCCTCTCCAGGACAACTTTCTTTTTTCTCTATCTCATGGTCTGTTGTCTGTCCCCCTGTTTTCTCCTAATTCCTTTTCCTTTCAGTGCCATTCACACAGTTTGCTGCTGTTCTTGCCTCCTTGGCATCCTCCCCAGTGCTCCTGATTTCTACAATATTGCTGCTCCTTTCCACTTCTGTACCTTTGAAGGCATGACAGACTCAAGCACACCCTTGAGATCTTTGTGTTGCTGAAGATTTTTTTGAGTTCAAGTTCTTTGCTCTTTGGGCTTCCTGACCTTTGCTGTGTGTTCTGTAACATGGAAGTGCTGTGTAGATCCAGAGGGCTGAATGTAAACAAACTGTGCAGGAGCTGGTAATGGACATCTCGACCAAGCAGAGGGGAAATAGTGATTCTTGCTAACCCAGATGAAAAGACAGGAAGCACAACTGATTAGAAATGGTCTGTAAAGCAAAATATATAGCCTGGAAAGAAGACAAGAGTTTGTTTGAAGCTGAGTACGTTTTCTCAGTCTTTTTTTCTGTAATTATGTGATTTCCTACATCAGGTAGAAATAAAAAATGTGTGTGTTTGGCTGGATTTACAGCTTCAAGCAGATACCCAGTTCACCAGAACACTGAGGAGAATAGTCTTCCTGGGTGGAAGTGGGAAAAGAGTCTGTCTGGTAAACCTGTGCCTTAGCCTTAGCAGTGATTGAGATAGAATGTGTCAGATCCCTTGATCCTGTTTTATGAATACAAAATAAAATCATCTTCAACGTGATACTACATTTCCATATTTCTAGTTTTAAGTTAAAAAAAGTTGAAAACTCTACTTCCTGTTCACTAGTGAAGGACTTCAAGTTTTTCAGTCACACTTTTACATAGGAATTAAATGTAGAAACAGTTCCACTGATGATGACAGTTTTATCTAAGACCATTTCAAAGAAGAGCTGAAAAGCAACAAATGTTTTGAAACTGGTACAAACAAATTGGGAATGGTGCTGTTGTTCAGCTCTTTGATTTGTCCCTGTTACAGCAGTGGTTAAATAAGATAATTTTTTCAACTTCCAATTCTTTCCTTAGAAGTAAAGCTGCAATCTTGTGTTTACACCATCAGTGCTGTTTATATTCATGATGCAGTTGCAGCATTTTAGTTTTCCATCAAATTTAGATTCTCAAAGAACACAGATTGAAAGGAAGCAGCCTTGTTCTAAACAGTAATGTATACTTGGGAGTAAATTGTCACCTCGGAGCTGATCCAAAGCCTTGTAAATTTACTGAATGAGCCTTGGATCAGATTCCTTGTGAAAGACTTTGAAAACATTAACAAAAGGAAACCCTAAGTTACACCTCATTATACCTGCAGCGATGACAGTAAGGATATGTACAAAACCAGGTTGGCATTCAGTGGCCCTTCTACCACCATCTCTTGGAATTTGCAGTGGCAGTGCTATAGGTCAGGAGCAGCATCACAGGAAGGGGCAGGGTGCCAGTGTCTCCTGACCTAACACCCTTTAAAAAGCAGAGTGGAGGTGCTGCTGTCCCCAGCAGGCAGCACACATCAACCTTTCAGGCAGATTTGAGGAATACAGTCAGTTATCAGCTAACATTTACTTTCATTT